ATCGAGAGGAGACTGATCGAGATTTTTAATCGAGAGGAGACTGATCGAGATTTTTTAATCGAGAGGAGACTGATCGAGATTTTTTAATCGAGAGGAGACTGATCGAGTATTTTTTAATCGAGAGGAGACTGATCGAGTATTTTTTAATCGAGAGGAGACTGATCGAGTATTTTTTAATCGAGAGGAGACTGATCGAGTAAAGTTATTCAGCAAGAGTTAATGCTTTGTAACCGACAAGCTAGTCAGGTTATCAATATAATAAATTTCTGTTAAATCTTATTAGCGTATTTGGCCTACAGTGGGTTTAGAATTTATGTTGAAAAGTTTGTTTGTGAAATGAGACCTACATACAACTTGCGTTGTTTGTAGCAATCTTATAGACGGAATAAAATAATTCGGCATAGTTACATGGATTGGTCTCTGAATTTTCTTTTACTAAATAATCGAAAACAACCCACCCAACGAAAGAACAAGTTATAAGAATAACACGATCTAGAAAAAATAAATGTGGGTCATTTTCTGTAAATTTGAACAAGGTTGCTGTTTGTTTAAAACTGTAAGATCAAATTCTCGTGTTAATTTTGTTACATATTACAATTTCAAGTAGTCTAAAACTGAGTTAAATTGTAACTTAGACTTAGTAGTTTAATATATGCCAATATATCTCCAATTTATGATATTTGCCAACAAGATTGATGCACACTGTTTTCTTTGTTTAGCACAAATAAGTTTTAATATATACACAACAATACAATTTACAATAACAGTTATTACAAACAATGATTTTATAAACAAAAGTTTCACAAACTTACATGCAATATAAAGTCTTCCTTTTAGTCTGGAACTTCTTAGATATCTTATCAAGGGTTCACGATGAGCGAGTTGACGTTGATATAATTCACTTGACAGGAAGCTAGCTAGCTTTGTCCTTCGTTATTTACCAGCCACACACGCCGAGTTTTCCACGATGAATTAATATAATGTTTTCGTTAAATGATTTGTAATGTTCGAACTTTGTAAAGGCTCCTGGTCAAATATCTGAAGTTTTCCGATTGATAAGCGTTATAATAATCACAGTTATAGTTTCCGAAGTTTATAGCACACTGGCCATAGCACACTAATAATAGATACTCTTTTGGCATGGCGCGTTGGTTATATTTATAGGCGTGTGGAGGCTTTCAAGATAATTCAGATTTACGTAACAATACTGAGCTACATTTAAGCGTTTACGTACATACATATATTGTTGATTCTTACTCTCGAGAATCTTCTACAACTTTAGAAAATAGACGGGACTTTCGCAATACATATTTAACTGTATAAGCTATGTATGTTTCGAAATATAAATTTAATCTAAACGTTGATATTAAAATAAATGTATAATAATAAATTCATTATACTCCCTCCTTAGCGAATTAAAAATTGGCGTTAGACTAGCCATTTATGAGTAGCTGCCTTCCCTCTAGTCTTACACTGTTAAATTAGGGACAGCTAGCGCAGATAGCCCTCGTGTAGCTTTGCGCGAAATCCATAACAAACAAACTTGACACAGTTAAATATTCAAAAATCAAGCAT